GACTGTTATAAAGCGGTAACAAATAAAGAAAAACTGTAAACATATAAACAACTAGCAAATAATAAAAACGACATAAAAAAATCACATAAAAACCTCACCAAATATTCTAAAAAGTCAAAAATATCAAGTACCAGCTCGAACCTACAATTCCCCAGCAGAGTCGCCAAAGCTTTCACACCCCTTTTTTCACCTCACTAATCCATCTTTAAAAGAGATAAAAGATTTTGTAAAGCTCAAATGGGTTTTCAATCATGAAAGTGACAAAATTGGTGTTTTAAAGGATTTTTAGAGTCGCCACCTGACATTTAGTTTCGGTATGCCAGGACACCATTTTTTAATAATAATTTTCTTTCAAAACACATTTGACTCTTAAACCAGTTTGCAACCAGAAATTTAGATAAGGGGGTTCATTTGACTCGGGGAGAAGGTGTTAGGCATTCCTCGAGTTCCGTAACTAGTACGGTTGCATACTTGATCAAATTAGCTTTTAAAAATATTCCAATTGAGGCATAACACGCAAAGAAAACAAACACAAACAGGTTCGAGGTTGTCCCCTACCTAAAAAGGAAAAGAAATGAATTAAAAGTCCTAAGCTAGCCTATACGAATACTTCCTCGAAGGACGTCCGCCTTTAGTCTTCGATTACATGTGCTTCGGGGCATTCCCCTGATAAAATTATAATAACTAAGGGGACTACCTTTAGCCTCGAAAAACAAAAATAAATAAACAACTTAATATTTGCCTACCCAAGTGTGGTCGGCCTAAATACGCCACTAACGGATAATGGAAAGAAATAAAAGAAAGCTAAATAACATGAGAATTCAATTCATGCTCATTTTTCTTAACAATTAAATTCATTTGTTAGACCGAGCCCAATCCTAAAGCATGTAGACAGTTTAATCATTAATGGGCTCTAATGGGCATGTCCTTTCCCCATTCCCCGACAAACATTCAAAATTAACTCATTCAAATTATCTACTCACAAAGATAGCAGTTAACACATAAAAGAAAAAAGAGAAAATAGTAACTCGACAGAACAAACACGACAATAAAATCAGGACAAAAAGTGGTGGATCAAAGTGTGATAAGAGCTTAAAACCCATCCAGACCCCTTCTTTTCCTTGAGTTATCAGGCTATCTAACCTCTCATTTACCTTTATTCCTTTTTATCTCCACAGCTGTTAATTTCTCAAGTTCACTTGCAAACTCCAATTAGTATCATGCCGCCTCTCATTAGTCTTACAGAAATACACAAACAATTAAATTCAAATCAAACACGTCAGAACGGACCATTCACAACACCAATACTGCTTTCGACTTCCATTATTTGAACTAACCAAATTTCTCAAACACAAATAGCATCAAGGTTATAGCCAAACTGTTATCAGAAACATGTCAGATATATCAACTCGAGAAGAAAATTCATTAGCAGTTCATGAGAACGTAATCTGTGCAATTAACCATTTAACAGTGGCCCTTATAAAGAATTTGAAGCAAGATACCACAATTCCAACTCAATTAAACACGAAACTAGCCAAATTTGCAACAGAAAATGATGAGCTAATTGAACAAATTGAGTTGAACGCAATAGAAGATCGACCATATGATTTCAATGAATTCCCGGGGAACTAGATATTCGACTCGCACCTGAACTCTTATGTGTTTTCAACTGATATCAATTACTTGCACATAATCTCAATAAGAGCAAACAGATGGCACCAAGCATCCTTATGATGAGAGCAGATTCAATCAAAAATCGACAACAAACTCAAATTCAGTCTTCATGCTTGAAACTGTTAAGTTCAACACTAGATAACCAAGGTAGATTTATGAACATCACATGAATCGAATTCTAACATTTTGTTAAAAAAACATGGACTATCGGACACTCAGCAAGAGATTTAGAAAATCTTTTTAAATAAGAAACTCCACGATTGAAAGCATTAGATTTTTCTGAGCTTTAACTAGTAATCACGACTCGTTACAGAACAAAATAGGATGGAATAAGAATGACACTCATAATATATGAAAATCTAAATTCGACCTCAAATATTCAAATCAAATCAGTTCCATCTAAAAAGCTCTTAAACATATTTTGAACTAATCACACCCCGACTCTTATCACACTTTGATCAACACCAAAACAAGAGCACGGGAAAGAGAACGAACCTTAAAAGAAAATTTCAATTAAAGCTTATGTCCGGATGAGATACAAGTAGGGAAATTGAGCAATGAACTCGACCAGCAGTGAATGAAACCGTGACAAGCAAATCAGGAACCACGAGCCGACCTCAAACGACAGTTTCGACTCAACAACAAACCTCAATCAAACTCCATCTGAATTAAACTCTTGATCAACCTTGTTCAGAAGCTATTACGAGCAAATCCAGCCCCGAAATTCGTGCGTCCAGTAGCAAACAAGCAAAACAGCGATAAAAATGGATTTGGGACCACGAACAAGAACCTCACGAGTAGTCGACGGACCTCAGCTAAACTCCATTTTNATATATATATTTGTGTTTTCTGTTTCAAAAATAAATAAATAAAAGACTAAAAGAGAACCCTAAAATTTTTATATGCGAACCAACTAAATATTAGAAGGAAGAACCTTCAAAAATCCGAAAACCCTAGCCCTCTTCTGCCTCTTTTTCTATCCGAAAACTTGGATTATATACCCCCTCTAGAAGCTTCTCCTTGCCCTCCAAGTCACGCCCAAAATCCCTCTTCCCTTTCGAAAATCCAGGAAAATTTTTCACTTAGAACAAAAATCGGACAAATGGAATGCGTGGATGTGATTTCACTCGCATCCAACCTCTCCCATTTATCCGAGATTCGTCCAAAGAAATCAAAGCGCGTGAGGGAGGTGAAGATGAGAATATTCTGTCAGAAGTCGTTATGCCACGTGGAGAAAGAGACGATGAGGAGGGGATCATGGGCACGTGATTCCGGTGAGGTTGGGTGGTGATGCGGCGACAATGGGGGTGAGAGTGTGCGGGTGGTTTAGTGGCTTTTAGGTTTAGGGTTTCAGGTAGGTTAAGATTTTATGTGGTTAGGAGAATTGATGTGGGGCATTGGATGAGAAATAATGGGTGGCTGAGATTTAAAAATAGAAAATGGGCGGGTCAAGGGTTAAAATGGGTTTGGGCTGGTTTAAGTGAGGGAGCCGATTTGGGCTTCTTCTTGCCCGAAACTGGACCTCTAAGTTGGGCTAATTGCTGAAAATTGGGACAAACTTATCTTATTATAAAGATGAAACTACTTTTGGTATTTTCAAATATTGTAATTGAAGTAAAATAAATTAAGACTCAAAGAACCATTAAACAAATATCTAAAATATGCAAGAAAATTAATATAGCTTAAAGACGTGATGGGTCAAAAATTACGTGCTTACAGACACAGGTTGAATTCCTTGCGCGTTTGAATATAAGTGATACAAGCTGATAACAAATGAACGGTAATTATAAATGATGATTAGGTAAATTATAGTTGGGTATGCTATTTAGGCTCTGAAATGTAGAACTTTATGAGAACTCCTTTTTAATGTTTGGCCATGATAGTCTTGAAAGTCCACTAAAAGCTGGACAAATAAATGACACATGCTTTTGTCAAAAAGGTTCCCGCATGAGCCTGTGCCGGGGCTCACTTTAAATCTTTATCCTAAAGCTTATGGGCCACCTTCCTTGACTAGTCTTGCGAGTTCAAGTACTTAGGAATTTTTAGAGAAATAGCAGCCGGATCCACTACTTATTTTGTAGTCAGTATATATAATTATACACTTATTATATATATATATATGTATATTATATATTTATTGGCTATTTTTAATTTAAGCGGTTGGAAGAGTGGCTATTTAAATTAATTCTTCAAGTATGTATTTTTTATAGATAAGAGAAAAAGATAGCCAGTCGGGCTTCTAGTTTATAATAATAATGTTTGGCCCAACTCCTTTGTTCTTATCAGTTTTAGCTTTTAGCCTAATTTTTGTGCATATATATATATATACACACACAAAAAAAAATGTGTGTGTACCCACTCTATTCTTCTCTCTTGGCTTCGCCTCTCTTCAGCGCTTATATATATATACACACACAAAAAAAAATGTGTGTGTACCCACTCTATTCTTCTCTCTTGGCTTCGCCTCTCTTCAGCGCTTATATATATATACACACAAAAATGTGTGTGTACCCAATCTATTCTTCTCTCTTGGCTTCGCCTCTCTTGCGCTCTCTCTCTTGGATGTGGTAAGGTTCTGATTAAAAAAGTGAAACTAAGTAGCTTTTAGCATAAATTCACACATAAAATAATCAATTTCTTTGAAATAAAATTTATTTATGTCGAAATTAAGTAGTAAAAGTTATAATAAGTCGCCATTGCTAATAATTTCAAATATTTTAAAAAGTCCTGCTCGCAAAAAAAATTCTTAATTCTCTTGATAGTAATAGTTCAACAAAATGAAACAAAGGAAGTAGTATAGAGAAAAACATATTTATTTCATGTTTTACTTGTTCTAAGTGAAAAATGGACTTTGAAAAATCAATATAAAAAAAAAAAAAAAAAATATAGGCCTAGTGGAATTATTTATATTGGAACTATTTTGGAATAGATCAGATCTACTATGGTACATTAGTACTGAACAGAGTGGTACATTAGTACTGAACAGAACGCCCATGTGTGTGTACTGAAAAGGAAATGTTACAATGCAGACAAATATATCCTTCGTTAAGGTTGCAGTGTCGGCAGTAGCAGACACATGTGATTTCAATTAGATTCCTGCACAGGATTGTGCTATCTACTGAGTTAAACGCTAACTCTTAACACATTCAAGTAGCTTTTTAATAAAGGTTACTTTTTCTTAATATATTTTTTAAACTCATAAACTTAAAATCATAACTCCACCTATATAATTTACCCAAAAACTTTCATTTTGGTCATGAATAGTGCCGATCCATAAAGCATAGACCTTAAACATTACTCCTATAAATTTAGGCAGCATAACACTTACTTCTCTCACAAATTTTGAACTTCCTCTTCTCCTCAAGTTCCTAGTGTTTCCACAAATATGTATAACCAAAGAAGAAAACCTTCACTTCTACTTACTCTCTCAGCCATTATCTTGCTCATATTCTTCTCTCTCCCAATATCATTACAAACTCAAAATATTCAATTGGAAATAGCCCATTCTCATTGCCAAGACACACTTTACCCACAACTTTGCATTTCCACTCTCTCATTAATCCCAAATCTTCACCAAAAAACCATTCCAGAAATCATTTCTTCTACTGTCAATACCACTGTAGATGAAGTCAAAGCCTCTACTGAAAATTGCACTAACATACTTCACAAGATGTCCAAATTGGACCCTATTGAGAAAAGAGCTTTAGATGATTGTATTGAACTTTTGGGTGATAGTACTATTTCTGAGCTTAATACTACTCTTTATGATCTTTCTACCAAAAATCATAATTCCCCTTATAAACATTACAATGATTTACAAACACTACTTAGTGCTGCAATGACAAATCAAGATACTTGTCTTGGTGGATTTGATGATAGTAAACACAATTTGAGACATTATATTGAGCATAATTTGCATACCATAGAACAACATGTGAGTAACTCCCTTGCCATGCTCAAGAAGTTGAAGACAGGGACAGCGCCAGGGTAAAGCCATTAAAGCTATTTTTTCACGCCCCAAATTAAACGTCTTAAAAATACTAGTATTCTTTATGTTTCATTTTAAATGGTACTCTTTCTATTTTAGGTAACTCTTTAACTTTAAATATGTCTGTTTGCTTTTTTTATAACCATAGAAATGTCGTTTAAGGCCACAAGAGAGTATTATTATATAAAATATCGGCATATAAAATTAAACAGAGAGAATATTGTTATATAAATTACTCCATAGTTATCAAAATTATAATTTTGCAAATTAAGTAAGTAGTTTTTTGTTTTTAGGAGTTGGTTGAAGTTATTCGGATCAGTGAGTAAATTACCTCTCCTTTAATAAATTTAAATCTCTGCCATTAATTAGCACATTTATCTCCCTTTTCAACAATAATAACAATAAATTCAGTGAAATACTACAAGTGGGATTTGGATAGGGTAATGTACCCTATCTTATAAAGATAGAGAGACTGTTTAGGATAGACCCTCGGCTCAAGAACAATAAAAAGGATTTATCTCCCTTTTCAATTATGATTTTTCCTCTTCATGCATATAATTTTTTAATTTCAATTTTCAATCTCAACTCAATTTTCTTGAACTAGTTATATTTCTCTGTCGTCTTTTGATCCATAGATCAGAAAGCAAGTCCTTTAATTTTGTCTTATTAGAATTTTACGAAATAATTTTAAATCCTCTTATTATAATTTGGTTTTAGGTCATCAATTCCATCATCATCAAACTCGAACGAAGTGTTTCCCGAATACGGAGCTATGAAAAATGGATACCCAAAATGGTTGAAAAAAAAGGATAGGGCACTTTTACAAGCTCCAATAAACCAAATTAAATTCGATTTGGTGGTGGCTAAAGATGGAAGTGGAAATTTTAGAACAATTAACGAAGCGTTAAGTGCAGCTCCCAGTACAAGTAGTACAAGATTTGTGATATACATTAAGGCTGGAACTTATTTTGAGTACATTGATGTTGAAAGAAAGAAAAGTATGATAATGTTCGTCGGAGATGGGATCGGAAAAACGCAGATAAAGGGTAATCGGAACGTCGTCGACGGGTGGACTACTTTCCGATCAGCCACCGTTGGTAAGTACAAATTTTTCCTTTTCAATGTCTATGTATTATACTTCTTTCTACTACTAAACGTCGTAATATATTAACTTTTATACACTAATAGTGTAAATATTTTTTAACGTTGGTGATTTGAAAGATACATAACTATAGATAGTAACTCATATTAAGTGAGATTAGTGTTAGGATCGAAAATAATCAAGTGTCATGCGCAACCTAGTAAACAAATTTTGAACGACGATAAATCAGATAACAAAATAGAAATCTACTAAAAGAGACACAAACATTTAACGTGATTCGGTCAATTTGACCTACATCTAAGGGCGGAGATGAGCAATCCACTATATAAAAGAGAGTACAAAATATCGAGAGAACAATCTCACGAAGAGGCAAACACAAGTGACATACTAACACTTGTCCCGTAAAGTTCTCCCCTAAACAAAACTCTCAAACCCCGTATAACTACATTACAGATGTTAAATAAGGAGAAAGAATGATATCATATTAAATGGGGTTAATGACATAATATAATATGTTAAATTATGCTGATAATTTAATATATTTTTATATGATGTACATAAGGCTATTCATGGTGCAAAGAGAGAGGGTAATAATTCTTTGGACCAGGCACGTTCTATTTAGTGCCATGTGTATTTGAAATTTAATTCAATGATTCAGACCTTCATTTATCTCACATTAATTCGTGAATAATTATTTAATCATGAAGTCATCTACACTATAATAGTTTGAATTATTCTAATAATTTGAATAATTCAGCAGACTGGAGTCTAAATTTATGCTGTCGGTGGGAAAAGACGAATTGCTAGAAACTGTAGATTGATTGATAAAGTTTAATGTATTTTTAAAATAAATATATTAGAAAGATCTTGATGACTTGTGAGCAAAAACTTAAAAGCTGAGTATTGTCAAGCAATTAAGAAATATATTGTCGTTGGTATGTGGACCATTCATTGGTTCCCATCAAACCATAATGTAGTTGTGGGGTTTGACATATCTATAAAACTCCGGGGCTTAGATTGTGTAATAAAACAAGTAAGGATACTTGCGGATTTTCGGATCGCCTGTAGCAACCATGACTCGAATTATTACTTGTCGTCAGAAATTTTCCCGTGGTGGATGAAAAATCTATTTTCACAGCCTAAAACTCTCTTGTTTGATGCAAAGAACTACTAACTCTAGCCACCTCATTTTTGATTATTCGTCAGTCTCCAAACACCCATAATGGTGTTTAGATAGAATGCACTTAGGATTGAGATGACTACAGTATAAGGTATAAAAAGACCATCAAGGTTGGTTGGGATGGATAGTATACCTTACTTTTAGAAGAATTAACCCAAATAGTCGTTCATCTAATCGCTTAAATTAAAAATAGTAGATGGATATATAATATGTGTATAATTCATGTGTCATACGTATATAACTATATATAATTCATATATATAACTATGTATGCTTAACGTATAATTTATGTATAGCAACTTAGGTAAACAATAAAACTAATATATAATGTTGGATATGAAATGACGCATTAGTCAATTATTTAATTTTCATTGTCCCTTGCCCCAACTATATCCAGAAAAAGGCCCCAGAACAACCACCTCGACATTAATTTGGTTCTATCTTATACAGGTAAGATCACTAATTAAGAGGCCTTTTATATGGCCATCACTTTTCCATGCAAGTCAATTTCAATTAGATCAATTTAATTTACAAAAGTATATGTTATGGCCCATGACTGATGTCTGGTGAGGTTGATTCTTCCATTATTGCTAAAGGAAAAACCCGAATTTATTCCTAGAAAATTCTACAGAATTTTAAACCTGTCTCTACGAATCCAAAGGAAAACTACACAACAGTAGTAATTAAGGTTGTTAAGATCTAGATACCAACTAATGAGAAGTAAGTATGATCTTTCAAATGTGCACCAAAAAAACACATTATCTATTTTATTTTATATGATGACACTATTGTTATTTTGGGAGTCATGAGTTTTTTTTTTTGTTTTTTTTTTACCATGACCTTAAGAGGTCGTTTGATTTGAGGACAAGTTATGCTGCGATTAATATTATGTTAGGATTAGTTGTACTGGAATTAGTTATACTGAGTTTAATTCTCCTGGTATTATTTCTTATTGACTGATTGTTATGTTGCATTAATCTGAAATTGTCAATTTTACTTCTTTATCCTGGGATTACTATTCCACTATCTAGCAAGTATAAGTTATCTCAGTACTATTTTTAATCTTGGGATAACTTATCCTATAATTAATAACCAAACAAGGGATAAGACAATATTAAAATTTTTATCTCAAAATTATTTTTACTTATCCATCGTACCAAACGACCCTTTACATTATTAAATATTTTGAATAGTCAATATCGCCGTATCAAATAAAAGAAGTATATGTTGTACAAGTCAAAACTCAAAAAGTAATAGGTACTGAAGATCATATTCCAATTTCCATCGATCTATGCAACAATTATATCTTTGATTTTCTCGTTTATAAATGATTACCTGTAATTATTTTTTAAATGATTTAATATTATAAAAAATATTACACTATCTATGTTAAAAAAAATTAATGGTATCTCGAAAAGAAATGTTCATCATTGGTTTGAGAAGTGAAATATTATTTTTTACAACTACATATTATTTAATTTTATATTTAATAGAGCCACACTAACGATTAGCTAGTCGTGGAAGCATGTAACTATGTATAGAGTATTTTGGTAAACTCAAAATTATATAGATCTTAAACTCCCTTTCTATTTTCTCCTCTTCCTAAGCTAAGTTTTCTCTTGAAATCCGTTGTTTCTATTCCTTGTTTATCCGATAAGAACTTGTTGAATCCTGCATTTCACTTTTACTTATGAAATATCATTAATATTGTGTTTTTGAGACACCTCAAACTACGAACATTTTCAAGAATTATCAATGTTGTTTTAATCTGTTATAGAAGACAAATTATCTTATTCTCTATAGGTTATTGATCTCGGTTTCTTATGAACAATTACATGTAGTTATCATTCATTTTACCTTACAATTTTTACTCTATTCTAAAATCTAACTCTCTTTATTTATTTTTTTACTGCAGCGGTGGTGGGAAATGGATTCATAGCAAGGGGCATAACATTTGAAAACTTTGCCGGACCAAGCAAGCACCAAGCAGTGGCACTAAGGAGTGGCTCTGATCTTTCGGCATTTTACCAATGCAGCTTTGTTGCATATCAAGACACTCTCTACGTCCATTCCCTTCGACAATTCTATCGTGAATGCGACGTCTACGGGACAGTCGACTTCATTTTTGGTAATGTTCAATTATTTGACTATCTCGTCAAAAATGTTTTAAATACTATCTATGGAATAGTAGACTTTTTTTTGATAATATTGAATTATTTAACCATCTCAACTAAAAGTTTAGATAGTTAAAGAGATAACGAATTGTTAATTGGGTGTATTTAGATAAGCGTTTAAGTTGGTCAAACTTGCTTATAATTATTTTTTTGTTTATTTGCTTATAAGTCAAAATCAGTTAAAAATCATAAGTTGATAGTTATGCTTTTTCAGCTAATAAGTACTTTTGGTTTGTCCAACTTTTTGTCTAACTCAAAGGGACTCTTGTTGCTTAATTATATCTCTTCAACAGGTAATGCAGCTGTTGTTTTCCAGAACTGCAACTTATATGCTCGTAAACCAAACCCCAACCAGAAGAACATTTTCACAGCACAAGGAAGAGAGGATCCAAATCAAAACACTGGAATTTCAATCTTGAATTGCAAAGTGGCTGCTGCTTCAGACTTAGTTCCTGTACTATCATCCTTCAAAAATTATCTCGGACGTCCCTGGAAACAATATTCAAGAACTGTTTTTCTCCGATCAAATATTGGCAGTTTAATTGATCCTGCTGGTTGGTTAGAATGGGATGGTAATTTTGCATTGAATACACTTTATTATGGAGAGTACTTGAACAACGGACCAGGTTCAATTACTAGTGCTAGAGTAAAATGGCCTGGTTATAGAGTTATTAATAGCTCAGCTGAAGCAAGTCAATTCACTGTTGGGAATTTCATACAGGGAAGTCAATGGTTACCGGCTACCGGTTTCCCATTTTTCCTCAGTTTAACTTCCTCGTCTGATACATAGGCGGATCTAGGACGAGTTTTAAAGTCATAGTGGCAAATAAAATTTAAGATTTGTAATTTTTATATATACATATCCGAAAATCCAAGATTAGAACGAAGGTGTGGACCACTGCCGTCAACCTGTGGATGTCACATATCCTGTAGACAACAATCGCGCAGTAGTCACCAGCTTGGTCCATTGCTTGTATCTCTTCATGTCCTATGATTTTTCTAAGCATCTTAAGGATGCTATTAGCTTGTTTTACTAATGAAAATATTAAGTTTCCTATGTAAGAAATTTGATGTCTGGTCTTCATTTCTTGAGGAATTAAGTTAATATTACTTGTACTATTTATTATTATTATTATTATTATTATTATTATTATTATTATTATTATTATTATTATTATTATTATTATTATTATTATTATTATTATTATTTATTATTATTCACGAGAATAAGGGTTCAAATACATTGCAATATAACAGAGGTTATTAATTAATTGATGCTAATCTGTGGTGTGTTATTTACTTGTAAATGTTGAAGATTCGGCGTTTGTTTAAATGACTTCAATATCTTTAAATTAAATATTTTGAATTGTTTTCATCTTTTTTTTACCTTGAATATATGATAATTATTCACCGAATTTATTTTGTCTTCTCAAGTTCTCATGAAGATTAAGGAGATCGTTTAATATTTCCTTATTTGCTTAATGTAACCTACTAATAAATTGTTTTTGCCACTAAATAAAAGATATATGTAACCGTGAGAAGACCAAAGCCATTTCAATTTTATAACTATCTACGTGATGAATCTGACTTTCAAAGAGTGATAATGCCCAACTCTAGTACTAAAAATGATAAGCGGTTGTAGCACCACGGAAAATTTCTAAATACTTTAGCGTTATTAAGAAAGTTGATGTGCGCTAATTATACTATTTTGTGTGCAGACGAGGCTATTAATATGATGTCTATCAATTGGATATGATAATAAGTGTACGAGGTATATTATAAGTGATATGGGGTCTAAGGAGAGCCCTAAGTCTAAGTCAAGTTGGAAATTACATGATGGAATAAAGTTCCAAATGAGTACACACGAGATCAAACTTTGGACGAGTATATCTACATATATATATATAAGAATTTATATGATGTAAAATCTATCAAATGAAAGATCATCGAGTCTAGTTTCTAACGCTTCAAACCGTTTGTCATTTGAACATTCCTACAAGAAGTTATGACCAAATTACTAAAGGCTAGCGGAGGAGCTTGCGGATGCGAAGCATCCGAGGCTGCGTCTGAAAGAGAGGCTGGCAGTGAAGTGCTGCCATAGCGTCCAGGTCCGCATCCGAGCTTCAAAGAGGAGTGAAGTGGGGATGCGAAGTATCCAGGGCCGCATCCGAAACCCAGAAATTTGGGCCTATAAATACAAGGTCGGGGGAGGGGAATATTTTGTGTATTTGGGCTAGTTCTTGAAATGAAGGAGCGATTTTGAGCTCAAATTAAGTTCAATCAACCAAGGTAAGTTCTTAATGATATTTTGGGTTGATTATTACTCAATATAAATGAGTTCTAACATCATTCTTACATCCAAATACTAGATTTCTTCATCAAATCCTCAAGAACACAAAAATCACCAAAGTTGTGATTTTTCAAGATTGATCTACTAGAGGTCATTCCAATGCTTCAAACTCGTTTATTATGAGTAGTTAGAAGTATTTGAAGCATTTGTTATAAGTTTTAATGATTGAAAGATTGGATTATAAAACTCTAGTTTATGGCATGAATAGTACTTTTGAGAAAATAAGAGAGAAGATGAATGGTAATCTTGACGATGAAATTTATGAATACAATGAACCTATGGAATTATTTATTAGCAAAAGATGGAAGTGATCAACTAAGTAATCACCCGAATTGTATATTTTGCAAGTGTTGACTATGGAAGATGATGAATAGTAACTTGGTGGCAATGGACAATTGATGTAGTATCATTAATGACTCCGAATGGGTATTAAAACATAAGAATGAAGTTGAATGGTCTAGCATGTAAAACTATTTGTCAATTTGAGTTGTTGGAGGCTTGTAGCCAACTTGTGAGCCATATATGGATGTTGATCAATATCTTATGTTATATTTTGATGTAATTAGGATATCTAATTGTAGAAATCGACTTATTGGTGATGTTGAGCATTTTAATCAACATTGGAATGATGGAGGAGGATTGAAAGCTTGTGAATGTTAATAAAGCAAAAGCGAGGTAAGTTGATTAAAACTTACTCTTCTTGAGGGACTTTCTCTAAAAGCATGTTTTGAGTTAACACTTAAGTTGTTTGCAAATGTGCTTTCGTGCTTGTGGGGACAAACAAGTACGGATGTCTCCATGTACTAGAATATTATGTTGCATATGTTGTGTCATGCCGTTTTATAAAATTTTATTCTCGTGCTTGTGGGGACAAACAAGTACGGATGTCTCCATGTACTAGAATATTATGTTGCATATATAGTGTCATGCTATTTTATAAAATTTTATTTTAAATTTTGTTGGCAAAGTGACACTCAAGGTCAATATTATAAGTTTTTATCAAAACTTACGTATTGACAAGAGTATACATATTTGAGTGTTAAAGATAAGTTTTCATGGAAAATATTTCTTTTGGAAATTGACGAACAGAATAGCACTTGTGGTATCTTTTAAAGATTGATGTTAAATTGCTAAAGGCTTTAGCATGTAAAAGGTTATTTATTTAAATTTTATTCAAATGATTTGGATTTACTATAAATGCTTTGATTTGATAAAAATAGATCATTCGAGACTAATATGCTATGAATCTATTTTTGAAGTATCAAATGTTTTAGGAGTTACTTGTGTTCACCGCGATTAACTTCGGATATATCGTGTTCATTGTCATGAAACTACACGTGCCGGTGTGGGCGTAGATAGCCACTTTGTGGTACAGACTATGGCAGAGTGCTCTCCCTCGAGAGAGTACTATTTTGTGCTATTATTAGCATGGCTGAGTTGATTCATAAGGCACTATGATGAGACGCCTTGAGCAAGTAGGGTATATGATACTTGCCGCTAGGTACATAACCTAGTTGACCTTCTTGTGTCGGTGATGGTATAGTACTCCCAGTGAAAGGTAAGGATGATTTCCTTATGTTTAGGCCTAAGGAGCCGAAAGTGATTTCGATGATTTAAAGCAAATGGAATGATTTTGTACGATTTTATCCAAAATCTTGGATTGATGTAAATATTTTAAAAGTTTATATTGTGGGTTATATCTCACTTGGTTGTTATTTAAAATAACAAGGGTCGTGAATTGATAAAATTTCTCATCGCTTTATATCAAATATTGGTGCATTGTTTTTATAAAGTTTGTCCTAAGAACTTAAGTTAGAGAGAGTCTATGACACTTATTGAGTACCGCCGTGGTGTACTCAGCCCTGCTTACTTTACATGTTTTAGGATGATATATGATACGTGGCATGTGGTCAGGCCAGGATGACTCTCTTTTCGAGGTATTATGAAGCACCACTTTTATTTCGTGGTAGCTATCATGTTCTCCCTTATTTTATTTTGTTAGAACTACTCCAATCGTTGGTTCTATTCTTTGGTATATAGGCTCCATAGATAGTTGTGAAAGGTTGTAGTAACGGGGTTGCAAATGACATATATGAAAGTATATTTATTTTACTTAGTCTCATTATTATTTTCATGAAAGACATCATGTGTGATTTTGAATTGGAAAATATGTTATCATTTAACTTGAAAATGTATATTATTTTCAAGGAGTTTCCGCAGTTAAATTGATTTTCATGCATATGATTTGGGTGCATCACATGATTTGGTTCACTCGAGTCGGGTAGTGTGCCGGGTGCCGGTCACGTGAATTTTGGGTCGTGACAAACTTGATATCAGAGTACTAGGTTCTAAGTCGAGTTCTAGGAAGTCTATAGAGCCGTGTCAAGTAGAGTCCCTCTTATCGGTGTGTTTCCGGCCACCCTTATATCGGGGAGGCTACAATGACATCTAGGGAGTTTCATTTTTTTCATACTTTATATCGTGCGTTTGTTCCTGAAGTGAGAGTACGGATTCTCGATCGTATTGATTTCCTGTTGAGGAAGATATTGAAGTGACAAGAATGAAGCTCAATGTTCAAGTTATAATACGAGATGTTTGAGCTAATGGCGAGAAAGTGTCAGATTTGTTCAAAATAGAAGGATAAGTTGAGAATAGATTGGGACTGATATAGTCAACACGTATGACTTTGGTGAATAAGAATTATCAGTCGAATACTGAGAAATCATGAAGAAAAATAAGGTGAGGATGTAAGCTAGTATTGTCAGGATGGTGTCCTGACTTATAAAGAATTTTACTAAAGGATGTGAATAAGGGCACCTATATTAGACCCTTGATTTCAATTCAAGATTGTTGGTCAAGTTGTTGGAGCGACTGTTTACTATGGTAATCACCATTAACCAGTTTAGCAAAGGTACCAAAAAAAAAGAATATTGTAAATGAAGATGTTGCACCTTAAATTATCATGACAAGATATAAAGAGGTGATATGGATCTAATTGATAAGTGAATGTGAATCAGTCATGTTTTTGGTAAACATAGTATGACTCATAAGAAGTTTGGCATAGTTAAGACAATGTCAATAATGACCAAAGACACATTCCCAAAAGAAAAAGGGAAATAATAAGACTTTCTTGATCATTCGAAAAGAGAATGTTACACGATAAGGGACATAAACCTTAATTATACTAGACATCGGGTTTCCTCTGAGCATGATGGGTTATCGTCATGATTGTGTCATACATAATATAAGTGACACATAAGAAATAAAGTGCCACGTGTAAGTACGAGTTGAGGATAGACGAAGCATGACATATGTAAAAGATGGGCATGACAACCTTGAGTTCCTCCAGATGATGAATGTGATACAAATAAAAGTCAATCTCTAATTATGCATACCAAGATATGCGAGGATAAAGTATGTGAACTTAAATAGGTAAGCGTGAAAATATTAAGGCATGAGATGCACAAAAGGCATAATCTTGGAGGTTATAAGAAACAATATAGGTTGTTAGAGAAGAAAAAGAAAATGACGTGGAATGATAATCTTGAGTTTTTCTAGTTGAGGTATGTCTTATTTTATTCTGTTGAAATGATGATTTTTTTTTTGTTGAGAATTTCCAAGAATGATCTCAAAGCAACTCTATATGTGCCCGATATTGAAAGAGCAGTTAACTTGTGAGTGAACGGATCCTTATGATTCAAGAAGAATAAATATAGAAATGGCTCATGGGCTAA